TGTCCAGGTAATACCAGGTGAATAGATAGGGCATGGGCAGCCAGAAACCCCTGGGATGGTCACTTCAAGCTGCTGAACTGCCTTATCCTTATACAAATATTACCATTTTACAATGTGTTATTTGCTATATGCACACAGAGATGAAAAGGCAACTGGGAAACATCAGGATAGGTAATTTACAGAAAGGAAAACCCAAACAGGTAATAAGTTTGGAAACCCCAGGCTCAAGCATATCAAATGGAAATCACTACTCAATCAGACCTAAGGAAGAATTTCTTAATGTTAACAGGTATGAGACACTAATACAAATGACTGAGGAAAGGCAGTCCAGCTTCTCTGGAGGAATTTGAGAACAGAATGTATTTCACAGGTATGGGGTGATTGAGATTATGTTCCTTAAGAGAGGCATACTAGGCAACTTTATAAGGCATCTTTAGCTTTGCTTACCCTGTTGTCTCAGTTTCCCTGATTATACAGTGAGTTCTAAGGTTACAAGAGGTAATACCACCAATCACTGTTCAAGGTGACCTAGAAGTGAAACAAGGCTATTTTATCCCACTGTCTGGATTTAGAAAGAAAAATGTCATCTTTTGCAAAGAACTCATTAAAAAAGCTCTTTTATCTTACTGGCCTCATAGAATGACTTTGATAAAAAATACTTTATTTCCTATTTTCTCATTTGTAAAATGAAGGTATTGTAACTTAAATGTTTGTAAAGCATTTTCTGTTCCCAGGAGTAAATATATATGTAATATATATTATATATATATAATCTATAATATTATAATTATAAAATCATAACATGATGTATACCCTATTTAATCATATATGCCACATATATTATAGATATATAGATTAAATAGAGTAAATATATAAAAATAAATACATATCTATGAATATGTATAGTTTTTAATAGATAGTGACTTCTTTTATACTGAATACAGTGTCTCCCATTTCCTTTTCAAAAGCACAAGATTAGGAAGTATTTAGAGGTCTCCCTTAATTTTCAGAAAGAGTAGATATACCATATGAACACATTCATCCCTGATGTTAACACAATCATGCCTGAGTAAAACATGCCTTCATGGGTACCAAGAAGAAAACAGCAGAAAATGCAAAAGTAACCTGGATCACTACCACAGCTTTCTTTAGTAAGAATATATTTAGATTGTATAGAATCACAGAAAATAAGATCCAGGGGTACCTGGGTGGCTGAGTCAGTTAAGCATCTGCCTTCGGCTCAGGTCATGACTCCAGGGTCCTGGGGTTGAGCCCGGCATCAGGCTCCCTGCTCAGTGGGAACCCTGCTTCTCCCTCTCCTTTCCGCTCATGCTCTATCTCTGTCGCTATCTCTCTTTCTCTCTCTCAAATAAATAATAAAAAAAAATCTTAAAAAAAAAAGAACATAAGATCCAGACAGCACTTAAAGAGCAAACCCTCTGACCCATTCATTTTAGAGTTGGGGAACAAGGCCCATGATGGAAAACATTCACCCGAGATTCCTCAGCCAATCAGTGACCAAGGTGGGTCCTGAACCTGGGACTCCCAATTCTGAGTCTGGTATTCTCTATGATAAACCATATTGTTACTTACAGCTTTGGTTTAGAGGTGACACAATCCTGGACTAAAATACTGTCTTCTGGTCCAGCTAGACACAGATTTCTCCATCCTTCTTTTGTTCTAGCTAAACTTTATGACACTGTGGTTTCAAGGCGGGAAAAAGAGATTCTTCCCATTTAAACCCTTAACTTCAGCACCAAGAATAATTGAGAAATATGGAATGAGCAGATCACCAACAAAAGCTTTACTTGGTTTGGCTGGATTGGGAAAGTTCTCAAAGCAGGGACATAGCACTCCCTCTTCTGGAAAGATGAATACTTCTATTGCTGTCCTGAACTTGTGCCCTGTAAGAAGAGGCCAAGATGTTTGGGAGTTGAGAACAGAAGATCCTTCTAAGACTAAAGGACTCTCACTGGGCCAGTGCCTGAGAGAACTCTGAGAAGGTAATTTTGTCTCTTAGAGACTCAAGTCTGTTAATCTAGAAAATAGGAATAACACTAATAACCTCTGTCCTGTCTGAAAATCACATAGCATAAGATGTGAATATACATTGCCAAAGTTAATACATGCATGTGAGCACTTGTATTTAATTCTAACTTTCAACAATATTTACTGAACTTGTCCCATGTGCCAGGAACTGTGCTAGGTATTGGGGATATATCAGTAAATTAACAGGTAAAATCCCCTGCCCCCATGGAATTTACATTCTGTAGGAGAGAAGAACAATAAAGAAAACATATAAGCAAAACATGTAATATGTCAGATAGCAATAAGTACAATATAGGAAAATAAAGCAGGAAAGAGGAAGAGACAGTGCAATTACAATTTTAAGTAGAAAATTCACGGAAGATCTCAAGGAGAAGGTGATATCTGAGTAAAGATTTGAAGGAGGTGAAGGTGGGAGCCATGAGTGGTCTAGGCAGAGAGAAAAGTCAGTCCAAAGTCTGTGGAAGGGGGTATGCCAGATATTTTTCTAGGAACAGCAAGAGACCAGAGTGTCTGGAGTAGGGACAGAATATGGGAAAGGTGAAGGAGATGAAGTAAGAATAGGTTGATAGAGGTAAGAACAGGTTGATCACACAGGACTTTGTAAATAATAGTAAGAGCTTGGTTTTTACTCAAGGAGAGATTGTCAGCCATCAGATGGAGCAGAGGAGTGATATGACCCAACTTAGATCTTGATAGCATCCCTCAGCTGTCAGGTAAAGAATGGACTGTACTTATATTATAGGCTCTATGACATTATAAGACAGCTACCATTTTACAGCAGTGCTCCTCAAACTTTAATATATAATGTAAGTCAAATAGGAACTTTGTTAAAATGCAGAATTGTACTTGGTAGGTCTGGAGTGGAGCTAAAGATTCTGCATTTCTTTTTTTTTAAGATTTTATTTATTTATTTGACACACAGAGAGACAGAGAGAGAGAGAGAGATCACAAGCAGGGGGAGTGGCAGAGGGAGAGGGAGAAGCAGGCTTCCAGCCGAGCAGGGAGCCCAATGTGGGGCTCGATCCCAGGACCCTGGGATCATGACCTGAGCCGAAGGCAGATGCTTAACCGACTGAGACACCCAGGTGCCCCAAGATTCTGCATTTCTAACAAGCTCCCAGGTGATTCAGATGCCAGTCTAGGGCAGAGCACTTTGAGGGTAAGAGCTATGTCCAAAGCTAGCATGGAGCAGAACTCTATTATATGTTTGCTGAATGAATGACATGTCAGTGGTTTGATGCCCAATGCCACATAGCACATCTCAGAGGGTAATTTTCAGCTATTTGTTTGGAGGTAAGGAAGAGGAAAAGAGAAACGAGAGACATGGATGGTTGGGTGAATAGATGAAAAGGAAAGGGAAACTACATTTTTACAAATAATTATAATATTATGTTTAGTTTTATCAACAAAACTAAGAGTTTGGTATAATCAAGCCCACTGGACAAATCAGAAAAATCAAAAGTCAGAGGAGTTAAGGGGCAACTTCAAGGCTACAGGATTCCTAAGTGACTAAGTCAGGATGTGAAAGCCAGCATTCCATGTCCCCACAGCCCTTGTTCTTTCTACTCTACCTTTAACCTTCCTGGAAGAGATGAAAAAATGAGTTGAGGTGAAAAAAGTTAAGGCCCATAGTCCTTGGCCTTGATCTTTCTAGATCTGCACTGTCCAATGTGGGTGCCATTTAGTCACATGTCTATTTAAATTAAAATTAAATAAAATTTAAAATCCCATTTCTCAATCATACTAGCCACATCTCAACCACTCAATAGCCACAGATGGCTAGCTAATGGGTACCGTGTTGGAGAATGCAGATATATTCTATCACTGCAGGAAGTTCTATTGGGTAACAATATTCTAAAGAAGCAAGAACTTTAAAAAGTGTTAAAACTGTATTATTGATTCCAGAGTGGGCCCTGACCTCACTCAATAGCACTTAGGGGACAGAAAGTAGGACCTGACCCCTCATCTGGAAAGAAGGGGATAAACATATTCAAAGTAGAGTTTTCCCTGGGTCAAGCAGGATGCCATATGAGTGTGTGTGTGTGTGTGTGTGTGTGTGTGTGTGTGTGTGTGTTTGAGAGAGAGAGAGAGAGAGAGAGAGAGAGAGAAATCTTTTTAAAAACATTCTTTCCTCCATTTCCCACTGGTATTCCCAAACTGTTTAGTAAAATGCCCTTTGAAAATGTCAACTTGTCTCATGAGCTCAAGAGAGTATGAAAAAAGGGCTCTCATTCTTACTCAGGTTAGTGAGATGGAAGGGATAGAGTTAGGGAATGTGGAGCCACAGCTCCTGGGGAGCAAACTGGCGTACTGAAGGAGCTGAGACTTATCCACTCAGTCTTTATCTCCTATACATTCCTCCCCCTAAGCTCTTTTCTGTTCAAACCCCAAACCAGTGTTCTTCAAGTGAAGGAAGAGGACCAACAGCATCAGTTTCACCAGGAATGCCTGTTAAATGTAGAGATGCCTTGGTTTACCCCAGACTGAGATTTCACAACTTTGGGGAGGCAGAGGGGCCTGGAATCTGCATGTTCAACAAGCCACTCCAGGGACTCTGGTGCACATTCAAGTTTGTGAACCACTGAGTTGGAGGGAGATATGTTTGTGCTTTAACAAATGAAGTCAGGCCTTTACATGGTGTGGCAACAACCAAATCAGAAGCCAAAAGGATAGGAGCAGAGATTCAGGGAAGGGAAGATGGGGGAGGGAAGCAGGGAGAGAGAGAGAAGGAATATGAGGATGAAAGACAAAAGTTAGACAGAGAAAGAGAAACTGATATAGGGACTGAGAAGCTCCTGTTTTACCCACTGAGCAGAATATAGGAGGCCAATCCAGCTGCTCTTTCCAATATCTTGGGACTGTCACAGCTCAGGAAAGTTGTTGATTCTTCATGAAAAGGTCCTCTACCCCACCCTGGGTGCCCCCACATATGGTATCATAGCTGGGCCTACCTCACAAATGTCCTTGAGGTGCTTGATGTAATGACGTTCGGTGCTCATGATCTCATTGATGACATTGGCTCGCATCTGGTCCCGGTTCTGTAGTGGCCGGCCCAGACAGAGGCAGTCTGAGTTGGGGTCCAGGTGCCCATTCTGCACATCACTGGGTCCTTCCTCCACCCCATCTTCCTGGTTCACCCAGAGCTGTAGAAGCAGGTAAAAGAATAATAATAGAGTAGTTTCCTTCTTTGAAAAGTTTCTAGCCAAGTACAAAAAGGATAAACTAAATTCTTCAAGTATTCAAAGAACATTCAACCAGAAGCCCCTGTAATTGAATGCCAGGTGTGGCTCTAGGATGGCTTGCTGGCTTTATGCATGATTTTAATCCTCTCTAGGCCTCTGATGACCTATCTGTAAAATGGAGGATGCAGAAGGATACAACTAAATCATCTCTGAGAGGCTTCTTGTGTAAGATTTCAGAGAAGAAAAGAGTTATGGCAAACAGACATCATTTGTTTTGTTTTGTTTTGAATTTGAGAGAGAGAGAGAGAGAGAGAGTGCACAGAGGGAGAGGGAAAAGCAGCTTCCCCGCCGAGCAGAGAGCTGATGTGGGGCTCGACCCCAGGACCCTGAGATCACAACCTGAGCCGAAGGCAGACACTTAACTGACTGAGCCACCCAGGTACCCCAAACAGTACTTATTTGTGCTTGAGCATATCTAGGTAGCACAGCTGGATTAAAAAAAAAAAAAAAACAGACTAAGCTATATATCTTGGGCATATGCCACAGCTGGATCAAACACAACACCTATGAGCCTGGAGACCAAAGTTGGATATTGGAGTGGGCATCTTGAAAACAGGACCTTCAGCGTTAATTTACATCAAAAGATGTACAAATAATAATTAAAATTTGACTGTAAAACGCCTTGGGTATGTAAAGATCTCTACATCTTCAATGTTGGAGTGGAGATGACAGAATGTCATCACATAAACAGCAACACCACATAACAGCAACAGCTTATTGAGCACTTACTATACAGCAATCACTATGCTAAGAGCTTTCAATGAACTGTATTACCCAGTCCTGCCAGGCATGTACCATTATTGCCTCTATTTCACAGAAGAGGAGACTGAGGCTCAAAAAAGTTAAGGAATTTGTCCTAAGTCACACAGTTAGGAAAGCAGAAAAGCTGGGATAGGAACAAGGTGGTCTGACTTCAAAGCCTGTGCTCTTAACCACTGTACTAGCAACTTTGCACCTCTGGTTCTAAGGAAAACAGGAAAAGAGTAGGGAAGGGCTTGGGCCAAGGTGAGCTGAGAATTATCAGAATCATCAGAAATGGGTACATACAGTTGGTAAGTGTTGAAACTATACACATGAAGGCAAAGGGATGCAGGAAAACCTCCCTTGGGGAGGCTGAGTGAGATGTTTCTGGATCTGGGATGACAGCTTAAATCAGGGAGATGGCTCATTTCACCCTAGTCCTTGGAAGGAGGAAGACCAGAGGGTTAGGGAAAAAGGGAAGGGTGGAACCTTAGGAAGAATGGTAAAATCTGCCAGGGGAATTAGCCCAAAGAGCTTGTCAGTTGTCTCAACAGCTTTAATCAACGATCTATCTTTCCTTTCCATACCACCCCCCATGCCAGCTTTCTCCACTTTCCTGCCTCCCAAAGCTGAGATCAAGCAATTTAGATGCATCACTATTTCTGCCATCAGAAAAGCCTGTTGGTAAGTGGCCTTGGGAGGATAGAGGCTTTGGGATGAAGCTAGAGGAACAGTAGTTATTTCTCCACTCTGTGTATTCTCCTCTCTCTTTTTGCCTCACAGAGGATGGGGGGTATATTTACCACCCAGCAAACCTAAAAATGGCACCAGCATATAGTCAATTTATTTGCCACAGGCCAAAGCAAGTAAGACTCACTTCATTTTAATGCACTTTGCATACACAGCCAAATGTGCAAAAATGAATCTCCATTCAGAACCTTTCATCCTCTACAAATGTTCTATTGGAAATTTCTTTCCATCTTTCAAAGGTCAACTTTGTGTCTTCAATATGCTAACAGCTGTCCTTTAATACAATCAGTAGGCAATGAGGAGGAATGATTAGTCAAGGAACAGATCTGTTCAAAAAGGTGATTCTAAGGCATTGATGCAAGGGCATCATATACATATAGGTGACTATGTGAAACAATAAAAGCCTCATCCTATAATAATTCATTAGCTTTATCAGCTTTTCACAAAGTAAGCTAAGCTCTGCTATAAAAATTGTACCATAGGCAGGCCTTTAAGAGATTTAAAATGAAACAAACCTTTCTTTTCTTCTCAGGAGTTTAAGACAAGTCAACTCAAAATATGGGCTTTGGGGTGGCTGGAATGAGATGACTCTCTGAAACAGTTCCAGTGGGAAGGAGCACAGGATATCTGTGGGAGTGAGGTTCAGACAGGCAATGTCTAGACACTGGTAAGTTGGAAGACTTTCCTGGAAGTCCTCTCAGAGTACTTGAAGACTATTTTCTTCAGCCTTTATTGAACTCTAAGCAAAGCTGGGTCAGTGCAATGCAATTTAACAAAAATCTATTTTGGATCTATTCTTTGCCTCACAACTAACTATGAGAGACACAAGGATGAGCAAGACTACTAACTGCTCCCCCCCTCCCTCCTGCCTCAGCAGTTCCAGGGAGTGCTTTCCAAATCAGAGGATACTCTGGTCCTCATATCTTCCTATTCCATTCCCATTGTCATGGCCCTGACTCTATAGGTGATTTCCCTGGGTTATCTCCCAGGTCTAATCCCTCCCATATATCATTATCAGAACAATTTCCTTGACTATCACTTTGATTGGCTAGTCTCAGGCTCCAAAATCCACAATAGTTCCTCATTAGCAAGTCCAAATCTTTTACCCTAAAATTCAAACAATACCATAATTTGGCTTCAATTTGCATTTCCATCCTTAGCTTCTACTATGTCCTTCAGGAATACTGGGCTTCTCCCAAACTGGTCTACTTTCTGTCCACAAATATTCCCAACCATGGTCTTTAATCCCACACTTGATCATGTAAATAATAGAGCTAGAGGCTTTCAACCACTTCAGCAAAAATGAACCAACATATCAACTTCCTGATGAAGAAACCTAGGCCCATAGAGGAGAAATAATGCCAGGGAATTACCAATTTACCCAGATCCCCATTTTGATATGCTTTTCTATTTTGTATGTATTTTCTTTTTTTTTCTTTTCTTTTCTTTCTTTTTTTTTTTTAATTACACAATAGACACAGGGATACATTTGCTTTGTAAAAAGTTAAAATAGAGAAAAAGGAGAAGACTCAAATTATTAAAATCAGCAATAAAAGAGTAAATATTACTGCCAATCTAACAGAAATTTTTAAAAAATGATTAAAGGGAACACTATGAAAAACTGTATGCCAAAAATTAGATAACCTGATGAAATAAATTCCTAGAATGATAAAAACTACAGAAAATGACTGAAGAGGAAATAGAAAATCTGAATAGACCTATGACAAGTAAAGAGTAATTAAAAACTTCTTGGGGCACATGGGTGGCTCAGTTGGTTAAGAGTCTGCCTTCAGATCAGGTCATGATCAAGCCCTGCATCAGGCTCCCTGCTCAGCGGGGAGCCTGCTTCTCCACTCCCCCTGCTTGTGCACTCTCTCTTTCTCTCTCACTGTTAAATAAATAAATAAAATCTTAAAAAAAAACTTACATGGGAAAAAAAAAAAAAAAGAACCAGATGGCATCACTAGTGAAGTCTACTGAAAATGTAAAGAATAATTAACATCAATATTTCATAAACTTTCAAAAAATAGAAATGCAGAAATTCCCAACAAAATACTTGCAAACCAAATCCAGTAACATATATATTAAAAAAAAAAAAAATCCACCTTACCAGATGGAATTCATACCAGGAATGCAAGACTGAGTCAACATATGAAAATCAGTCAATGTAATACACCATATTAATGGAATAAAGGTTTGAAAAAATACATAATCATCTCAATAGACACAGAAAAAACACTTGGCAAAATCCAACGCCTTTTCATTATAAAAAAGAAAACATTTAACAAATATGGAATAAGAAGGAACTTTCTCAAACAACTGATAGAAATTTATGGAACACCCATAATTAATGTACTTAATGGTGAAAGACTGAATGCTTTCATCCTACAATTAAGAACAAACATCACTTCCATGCAACATGTATACTGAGGGCTAGAGCAATTAGAGAAAAAATAAGCATTCAGATTAGAAAGAAAAATTAAAACTAATCACAAATGACAAGATTTTATATATATATATATATATATATATATATATATATATATATATATATATATATATATATATATAAGGAATCCACACAAAAAACTTATTATAACTAGTAAATGAATTCAACAATGTTGCAGGATACAAGATCAATATACAAAGTCAACTGTTTTTCTGAAAATAAAATTAAGAAAACAATCCCATTTAAGTAGCATCAGAAAGAACAAAATCCTCAGGAATACATTTTACAAAAGAAGTTCAAGACTTGTACACTGCAAACTGCAAAATATTGTTGAAAGAAAGTAAAGACCTAACTAAATAAAAAGATATCTCATGTTCGTGGATCAGAAAATTTAATATTGTTAAGATAATAATATTATGCAAATTGATTCAGAGTCAACACAATTCCTATCAAAACTCTAAGCTTGTTTCTTGGCAGAAACTGATAAGCTGATCCTAAATTTCATGCAGAAATTCAAAAAGCCCAGAATAACCAAAATGGTTTTGCAAAAGAACAAAGTTGGAGGACTCACACGTCCTGAATCTAAAACTTACTATAAGCCTTTAGTAACCAAATGAGTGTAGTACTGGCACAAGAACAGATACAGAGATCAATGAAATAGATGAGAATACAGAAATATACCCAACATTTATACTAAATTGATATTTTTCAAAGGTGTCAAGACAATTCAAAGGGGTCGCATATAGTCTTTTCAACAAATGGTGAGGGGGCAACTGGATATCCACATGGAAAAGAATAAACTTGGTCCCATACTTCACACTATATATGAAAATTAACTTAAAATGGATTAAAGACCTAAATGTAAAAGCTAAAATGACAAAATATGTCAAAGAAAACACAGAAGCGAATTTCTGTGACCTTGGACTAGGCAACAGTTTCTTGCATATGACACCTAAAACAC